TTTATTTAGCAAGAAAATACAGATACAGAGTGGATAATAATAGTGACATGGATGAGTCAATTGAGAGCCTGGGTTTTATTAGTGGCACCTGATATAATATACTGGACATTTATCTGAAGGAATGATTTTATAACATTTAGTATCATTTGTATTCGTAGCAGACTTAATATGGTGTGATTAAATACGTATGCGAATAGTATCACGATTATTACTGTAAGGTGTCATTAGTACTTAGAAAATATTTTAAGTTCCTTCGTCACGTTATAACAAAGGTTTTCATGAAGCCGTCAACAATTGTCGCCCTTGGCGGAGTAAAACACGGCCTCCATGTCCATATGCCTGGCAGTGCCATCTTTTCTTAGTATTCTCCCCGTAATTTTTCATGTGGGCGTTAAAGAATACAGTAGGTAAAGAGGCCATCCTTATGTGCCTTCAGACAAGCTCGTATAAAATATGGCTTCTCGGGCCTTGACCACGGTACTCTGTGAGCCAAGAAAGTTGCCCAACATCCGTTGTTGTACAGATGGTTCCAACCCACCGGCTGGTCCTTGGAGAATGAGGTCACCATCTCCCCTTTTTGCGAATAGCCACCGACAGGACGCTCCGGAGTAAAAAAGTCTCGAGGCCGCTATAAGTTTCAGTCCACTGAAACATCCAGAAGGAGCATCTGCAAGGCCACCTCCTCAGGCGGAGACTTTCCAGGTAGAATCCTTCAGGAGGCACGTGCATAGAAAAAGAGGAAATAAATATTTTTGAAAGGAAGCAACAAGAATGCTATACAATAAAACAGACGATAAATACATTAGTAATGAAAGCAATATGTTATATATGATATTACTATAAGTTTTGATGTAAATTCACTTTTCAATAGAGTGCAGTGAAAGATACTACTTTCATTTCTTAAAGATAAATTCAACCGTTAGATATGACTATTGAACATGATACTTTTCTCAAATTGATAGAGTTATGCGTTAATGACTGCTTGTAATCGCTCATTGGAGCGATTTTGGTTTTGTGCAGGACAATAAGACCCTTGTCGTTGACGATGAGTATAATTCGGTCAAAACCTGTTGAATACAGTTCACATATAACAACTGCTGGTACATCAGGACACAGTTTGAATGATACGATCAATAAACAGTTAATAATTACACTTATTAAAAGTTATTTAGAGTTCTCAAATTCAACAGTTCACAATCACACACGTTTTGGGGGTCTAGGGTTAGATCAACGAGAGCAAATCTAATGTCCTGCAAAGATGTTGGCGGCGAAAATCAAGATGTACAGTAAAGAAGGCGATAGTCTGTCCCTCAGGCTGTCACATAGCTGCTGCCAGCTTCATCTCGCTATTCTGAGGTGTAAACGGACTTTCTTCACTTAACATGTGGCCGGTGCCCACAATTTTGTGCGTGGCAATATCCGGGCCGGTGGAAGTTGTTTGGACTTGCTTCCTAGCCCCATTAGTACCTGTTCACCTAGCAGTAAAGTAGGTACCTGTTGTAAGTCGAAGTTGCGAATTCGTATTAAGGAAAGTTGTTGGAGCTTCGTAACTCATGACGCAAACCACTGACTCTTCAGGCTTCTACGCCCCGTACCTCGTGTGAGACATAAGAAGCAAGCATAGACTTAGCATGCTTCCTGTTGGAAGCGCTGTAAACCTTCTGCGCTTCACCTTACACGAGGATGTAGGGGAGTGCCCAATAAAAAATTAAATAAAAATATATAAATAAATAACACTGACAATGTGTTTTAGGTCAATTAGGAAGTTTACAGGCAAATATTTGGCATGAGCATGGGTAGTGTCTTTCTGCTCCTCCTAGCCTGTATTTATATGGAGTTTTTGAGGCTAGATTACTGCAATATAAGGGGACTTTATTCCTCATGTTATAGATATATAGATGATGTTCTTTGTCTTTGGCCTGAAAACAGTGACCGGTGGAATTTTAGACAAGCTTAATGATCTTGTCCCTAGTATTACATTCAAAATTGAAAAGAAATAAATGGATCCTTCATTTCTTGATAATATTATCATTAAGTAAAAAGTCATAACTATAAATTTAAGGTGTACAAGAAAGCCTACGGGTAGACAGTTTCTGCATTCTTTATCGAGTCACCTGGAATCTACCAAATGTCAGTTTTTTCTGCTATGTTTTGAGATGTTTGCATATTTATGACCCAGAATTTATTGTTGAAGAACTGAAACACATTCAGTCCATTGCACAAAAACTTGGGCACTAAAAATCCTTTCATTCTCTCAAACCAGGTGTAAATTCCACACCATTTAGGAATATTTTTGACTCTACCTTATTGCAATGAATTTGTCCGTTAGTTCAGTCCTTAGATTATTAAATATTAATGTTGTTTTTAATGTAATCAACTATTGCTATATATTAATCAGAATAGCCCAACCTTGAATATAAATGGAAGTGTTTACTGCATTCCATGTAAGCAGCTGTAATGGAAACTAATGAGGACAGACTGGGGAAAGCATTGCAACTCAGAATCAAACAGCACAAGTACATTATCAGAACAGCATCTGAAAGCGGTGCACTGTTCGTTCATGTTAGGAACAATAATCATCCCAGTGATTGGGAAAACAGCTTAGAAGTGTACAAATCATCATGTGTCACAGAAAGACTTCTGGATTTGAGAAGCTAGTTTGATTAGAGAATTAAATTTCCTAAACCTTAGTGATGGTCAGTACAAAACTGATAATATGTTACACAAATTTGTTGTCAGTGGCCCCAAAATTTAAAAATGCTTTGAAAATATTAGGTTAGATGTGGGATAGATGATTAGTGGGTCCCATATTTTGACCTGTCACGTCGCCCTTTCTCTTTAGCTCCACTCTCTGCGTGTGTGGTGTTGTTGGTGTGTGCAGATTAGAGGATGTCATGTTTATGACCTGACCTCATGTTTAGTAAGGTCACCCTGTGTACTTAAACCTCTCTCGCTCCATATAATTCGAACCTCCAGATATCTTGAATAAAGGAGCAAAAGCTAAGGTGCTCCATTTGTTTCCCTTTCCTGTGTGATTTTATCAAATTTATCTTATCCTGTATATATATATATATATATATATATATATATCGATAAAATCGCACGGGAAAAGAAAACAACAGAGTAAATAAATCACTGTAGGTGCGTAATCCAGGTATATATATATATATATATATATATATATATATATATATATATATATATATATATATATATATATATATATATATATATATATATATATATATATATATATATATATATATATATACACAGTATATAATTTGCAACAGAGTTAAGTCACTTACTGGATATGCGGCAATTGTGGAGGGATTTCGTACATAGATGAATCTTCGACCGTATGAGCCTCTATGTTTCCGTCGCCGACCAGCTGTAGTTTATTCCCCATACTCGTCACCTGTAAAGAAATATATACAGTATAATTATTATTGTGTATGAATGGGCTTAGTAGAGACAGCTAAAAGAACAGCACTACTTTGCTTACAGCAGTGACTGTGGAGTAATTGACTACAGGTGACTTACCTTGCTGGAGATGGTCTTGGAACTGGTACTGAAGAACACAGGTTTCCCTCCCAGTCGATGCCAGGCAACGATCCGATCATCTGCGCCACCTCCTCCTCGTCTTCCTCCTCCAGGTTCCAGAACACTGACAAACTCTGCACCTTTTCTGGACACCACAATACCAAATGTATGAGAAACACATGCCCCATGATCCTATGGAACAAGTTTCATGTACAAATTATACCAAACTGGTAGCCAAATACAGAAGAGCGGCTACACGACTTAAAAGTACAGTACAGACTAAAATATTATTATACATACAAGATAAGTGGAGAGAGAGTACGTAAATTACAGAGGTTTATGGGCTATTTCAGTATGAAAGCATTTCAAGAATCATTCTCTTGCATTAAAATATATTTATAATCCAGAACATATATTCGTACGAATGGATACCTGCACAATAAGAGAATAACATATCCACACCAGACTTACCGTAGTGACTAAATTTACCCTAGACTGCCACTGTGTTTTTGGGACAAAACAACTTTATTCCTAATTTCTCCATTAGTCCACCAGCGTATTCCTGTCTCGACCGTCCCGTGCAGCTGCCGGGTTGAAGAATAAAACATAAAATCGACGCCAAAAAAGTGTGTCCTGGGCACCTACTTTTAATTGTTGTCTTAGTCATCACAACACAAGACACTTCCACAATCAATGTAGTTGTGTATTTACCGGGACTTGGTCTCCTCTGATGTTTTCCCCAGACGTGGGTGAATGGTGTGGTGAGAGTCGCAGCCACAATGAGTCAGTATAGGAGTGATGGTGCTCCCCCCAAACGCTACTTATGACAGAGTCTTCACCGTCAACACCTTCTCGTTTCTAGATTAAAATCTTCTCCATTTTCCCACAGAAGATCTATTAAAGTTTCAGTACATTTGACCAGCACTACTGGTCCATCGTTTGTTCTCTTGACCGAATGTCTGTTTATAAATAATTAATTTCTGACTTTCTAAAAGTATAAATGTTGTCCCGGGCTTTGTCCGGTTTGGCACCTCCCGGGTTTAGTGTGTTTTGTATCCAGTTTTAGGTTAGGTCCAGGTTAGGTCAGGTCAGGTCTGGTCCTAGACCCAGTAAGGATTAGATTTGGTTGGTTCGTGCCATCACATTTTTATCAATGGTTTGCAGCATCATAGGCTGTGTAATGTTTGTGGTAATTTTAGAACATAGTAGGCGATAACTCTGTGGCAGGTTGGGCAGATGGGCTGCTAGTCTCTCCTTCAGCGCCAACAACTCCTTCCCGTGCACACACCTGAGGAAGCGGCCAGCCATCACCTGTGGGGGTCACACACACACAGGTGCCAGGTTGACACATTGACTGACCCGACGCCGCCACTGTACAGCACCTCTACACTCTCTCAGGCATTAATCAACATGATAAAAGTTGATGCCAACAATAACAAATGTTTATACCATCTAGTTGTCAAACAGAACATTACAAACTGTAATCGAAAAAACTTGATGAATTTGAAGCCAGTAGACAAGTACAAACAATTTAAATCCATTATTTTACCATGATGAGATGTATCAAGTGAAACATGTATATGGGGCAAGTAACAAGATGGAACAAAATATATATATATATATATATATATATATATATATATATATATATATGTAACCGGTCGGAATTTGCTGGACTTTAATTTCTCACTTGACTTGGGGTTTATTAAAATTTAATAGATGGTAAAGGCAGTGGAAGCGCCCCTTTGAGAAAAATCCCGAACCAGCACAAGAACACTTAAATCTACTACACAAAATGAACTGTCCGTGACCCGTGGAAGGATAGCGTCTGTGACTGGGATGAATGAGACACACTGTAAAATTTAGACACTTATATTCCCTCCAACACTACAAACACAATCAAATAATGGTACACCAATATGCGCACCTCTTAACTTAAACTTAAACACTACTCTGGGGAATAAAAGTTATACATGACATAGAAATTATTAGAAACACAGGCAACAATAAATTTGAAGTATTAAGAAATGTTGCTTGCACACATGAACAGGCCTTAAGGCTTCCACAAAATAATATCAGTCACTTAGGAAATGGTAGTAAAAAATAAGAAATTAAATACTCCACAATGAATAGGCCTTAAGGGTTTTCAACAAAATAATATCAGTCACTGAGGAATGGTAATAAAAAATAAGAAATTAAATACTCTACAATGAATAGGCCTTAAGGGCTTTCAGCAAAATAATATCAGTCACTGAGGAAATGGTAATAGAATTTAAGAAATTAAATACTCTACAATGAATAGGCCTTAAGGGCACTCAACAAAATTATAGCACCCCAACAGATGTACACTTCCTAACCTAACCTAACCACTACTCTGGGGAACAAGGTTATACCTGAGATCAGAATTATGAAGAACAATTAGAGGCATTAAAAGAATCAAATCACAGTATCACTCTGGTTCCACTTAATGGCACAAACATTCAAAAAAATATTATCAAAATTATTTAAGAAATATTAACTACACACGTCAAGATAATATCAGTCTGAGGAGTGGTGTTAACTACACCCGTAATAATGAAGATAAAATGTTCCTCTAGGTATCTCCTAGAGTCCTAGACTCACGGTCTCAGTGTGTGACCATTAATATACTCAGATAGCCTCAGTGTACTCCCAGTGCGTCCATGGGCAGGAAGAGAGTGAGCCAATCAGACCTTGTGCAGTTGAGAGAAACCTTAGCTTCCCGTTAGCAAGAGGGTTTCACTAGCTGACCGAGGACACGTGGTGTTGTGCACCGGAGTGGTAAGAACTGATCACCCACTGCCGATGCTGGTCCCGTGTCGTTTTAGTTGTCGGGAGCACTCGTTCACTCAAGAGATCCTTTGCTACCCCGCTAAACAGTGACAGGCCTACACTGATCGGTCCAATGGCGACAATCGCCACCCTCAATCATCAACGGCAGTCAATCTCTCGCAGTCAACTCCGGTCAAGTGGGTTCTGACGGAAACCCTGAAATGAACTCACTGTTAGCTCTAGTTTACTTTATCACTGCCCTATCTAACCCTGTCTGAGATCGAATGAGACTTACTTGTTATACTGCAATAGCGCAGCACAGGTGACTAGGCCACGTGACTATTTCTGATGGACGCGCGGAACGTCTTGTCTGTGTGAATGCTCTCCGGGACTGGGCCTAGCCAGCGTCGCGTCTCCCCAAGGCGCTAGCTTGGGCCTACGTGATATATTTTCCGCCTAACTAATAACTCCTTGGGACACCCGTAACATTATTCAGACTGCTAAACGATCTATAATAATTTCAAATTCAATAATAGTCCCTTAACTTCATGAATCGCATCATTATTAATTCGGTAAATTACATTTAATATCATATAGGCCTAGTTCCGCAATCTCTCGCTACGAGCAGGCAGCGCTCCCTCCCCTCAGATGACCTTGAACGCTCAGTATCACTCATGGCGGGGCATTTGAAATTACTCTGAAATTTCTGAATATTACATATATATATATATATATATATATATATATATATATATATATATATATATATATATAAAAGTGTTTCCCTTTAGTGAGAAGGCTGACTCCTCTATCTCTGGGCCGGTCTGTGAAAATACGTCATTATACACAAAAGACTCAGGACAAACGTTCATCTCTTCGCCACCCCCCTCTATATTTTCGCATGAATTTATCACATTTTCATTTATTTCACTCTGACAAAAAATTCTCAAATATTTCACAAATTTCTAATAAACCCTTGAGGGCTCCATAATGTGACGAACTACAGGCTGAGGACCACTGGTGTAGGCAATGTCCGAACTTTATATCTGATGGCAAGATAGCTAATATACCGAGGCTGTATCCACACTTGGCATTTAGCACCTGATCAAACTTCAATGTACCGACTTAAACAAACAATGTACTGGAAATACTCTGTTACATTTAGTGCTATAATAATCACGGTCACTGGGGTCTGATAAACACCCTTAGTGGCCTCTACTCTGTAGTCCTTTTTACGCTACCGCTCACAGGACCAGTATTTAGCGCACAATTCCACAGCTCACCGCAAACTGATCCATTTTACCACACACTTGATGAGTCCGTCACTTTGTTTTTGGTGCTGGTTTCCATATATATATATACTGTTTAATGACTTGTACAAGAGTCATGAAGCAGATATATAAAGATGAGAGACCTGACCGCCGACCACAGAACAGGACATGATATAACTTTCATTTGATCAGCACCTGTTGTAGTTGTATGTAATTATACACTGTACTGTACCTCCAAGAATGACTGAAGCTCAGTGTGGATGATTGTAAGAGGCGGGTGACTCTAAATCCTCAGTGAATTATATAGGAACGCTGGCGATGATAGAGAGACCGGGCCGTGTTTACTGCAACGCCTGATGTTGTGTACTGAGGTTGAGGACAATGAAATTGAGGGCTCTTATCAGGGGGTCTTGGTGTTACCCATTATGCCACAACCGGAAAAGTGGTTCGGTTAACTTCATTATGTCGAATCACTTACCATTGTTAGAACACTGTGTTAACATTTGTAAATGGAATCGAATTTATAATATATTTTTTTTAATATCCGTAAATATGTAAATGATGACGACTTTACGAAAATGTAAATCAAGTCAAACAATAAACATAAGTGTTAAATGAAGGCCTTTACTGTGTGTTATGTAATCATAGTCTTATCCGAGCTGCATCCTGTAACAATTGATGGCCGCCATAATGGAAATACTGTAGCCTATTGTAGAAACGGTTTGGATCAGAAGAGGTTTTTCACGTTGCCATATTTACATTTCCGTGCTGGTGAGAAAGATTGTTGTCGAGTCTACACTGATGTAATGCTTCTCATTATAGGGCGGTGCTTATTAGTCACGTTATGTCGTCCATGCGGGTAACGTGGTGTAATGATTCTTTATCAGACCACAGCTTACAGCCAAGAAAAACACAACACATCACATATTGTTACCGCCACAGTAAGATAAGCTAGAAGAGAGAGAAAGAGAGGGATAACCATAATAAGATAAACTAGGCGAGAGAGAGAGAGAGAGAGAGTGGATGAGATAAGAGATATATTGTTGACAACGAATTTGCTGACCAATCTGCTGATGTGTTTCAATACGAAAAGATATAGCCCTCGCCTCCGGGCTGAGATTGCCCTC